GTGAGTGTGTGTGTGTGTCAGACTGCAGTGGGTCTGTTCCAGTCTGTGGTGAAGACGCACCTGCTGCTGATGGCTGATAGAGGACACACTCACTCGGAGCTGCTGCAGCAGCGCTTCAGAGATCTCGCTCCAAAATACGCCGGCAAGGTATTAAACACGAGTCCATTTTACCTCATTTATCTGACGAGAAAGTGTTAATTAAGAGGATGATGGGGTGAAGTCTCACTGTTTCATTCTTTAATGTGATTAAGAGCTTTTGTCCTGATTACACAAGCGCTGCGCCCCACTGACCCTAATATTCCCACACATGCCAGATCCTTCCAGAACTTACAGAAATATTCCAGACTGTATGAGACTGCTAAAGGTTTTGATTGATTTGGGCAATATTTTAAATTTAAAGTGACTGTTCATTTACGGTACACTTTAAGACAATTATCACATGGAGTAATTGCAGTTTACAGTCAGATTAATGTTTATCTGACACAAAACAGCACTGCACAGATACATTCACACAAAATCTAACTAATAAAACTGCTATAAACTAAAACTCTAAATAACTAATATGAGAAAAAAACAGTAGAAACCCTCATAGAATTTGTAACTGTAGAAAGCCTGATTGTATTGGTTTTAATGGAAACTGTAATGTTCCCTGTGGGTCTCTACTGGTAGCTTGTTGCCTTCTGTTGTTAAAACCACTAAATCCTAATGGAATATGACCCACACACTACAGGACAGGGTTGCCAGGTCTTGTGTAAAACCAGCACAAAGGCCAGTCATAAACATATGCCTGTCCCATACCTCAAATACATATTTTATATTTTACAATCCCTGTTATGCGTTATACACAATTTCAACTATAACATCACTAGTAGTTCTCATAAACAGTTTTCATAATGGAGCTCCTCTTTCACAAAACTCATAATCTCGCACAGTTTAATCATTGGTAGATTGTAAAATATTTCAGTACAATGCATTTCAGTCGCTTACAGTTTCTGCAATATGTCAAACCTCTAAACCGTGAGGAAAAAATCAGCCACCAGCAAAGAGTTTACAAATAGCCCGATTCTGCAGGAGAACTGCGTATAATCATAGTTGTGATTTTCGAGCAGATGCTTGAATGTGTTTTGTGAAATGCAGATGTTGTTTGTGCTGGTAAACGGACAAGAGAAGTCGAACGCTCGCGTGCTGGAATACTTCGGCCTGAAGTCTGGTGATCTGCCGCGGATCGGCCTTTACGATGGAGACTTGGACAAGAAGTGGCTCCTGGCGGCGGGTGAAATCACTACTGAGCGCGTGCAGGACTTCTGTGACTCCTTCCTGGATGGAGAACTGCAGGTGAGGCCAGCGGAAGGAGCGCTGTTAACACACCGACATACTGACAGTCTATAAACTGAGTTTATTTTCTTTCCAACAGAAGCAGAAAGAGGAGGAGACACCCGAAGACAAGACTGAACTATAACACCATCCTATTCCTCATTAAAAATATTCAAATACAGTGGATCCTGTTTTTGAGTTCATCATGTTGGACCTGTGTGTGTGTGTGTGTGTGTGTCTGAGTGTGTGAGTGTGTGTGGGTGTGTGTGTGTGTGTGTGTGTGTGTGAGTGTGTGTGTGTGTGTGTGTGTGTGTGTCTGAGTGTGTGTGTGTGTGTGTGTGTGTGTGTCTCTGAAGGCTGTTAGTGTGGATATCTCTGGCATGTTGCTAAAGATACGAGAGTCACACTAAACATCTAAATGCAGCGGGTGCTCAGCAGCATCAGATCTCCTTCATCAGACGTCTGTCTGTCTGTCTGTCTGTCTGTTATCAGACGTGCTGGTCATGAATTCTCTTCATTTGCTTCTGCATGATCTTGATCTGCAGCTTTTGCGCTGGGCAAACTTGGGAAAGAGCTGCACACATAACATCCATCCACACAACACTGAAAATTATAAGGTGGATGGATGGTATTGAGCACTGCCGTATTTCTCTGAAGAACTTTCCACAGAGACACGTCCGCTGAACAAACCCAGCGGACTAAACAAAACCTAGACGTGGAAATTACACAGACCGGCCAGAACTAATTTCTCTGTGTATGATGTGCTCACACACACACACACACACACACAAACACACACACACTCTCTCTCTCATACACACACATACACACACACACACACACACACACAGAGGTTAAGACAGGACAGGTCACATCTCTGTGTTTTCCTCTGTCATTTCTATGTCTGTGAGAAAACATTCCTATGCAGTAATAAATACAGAGTGTGTTATGTATCATCAGCAGTTGAATCTGATTGGTCAAACAGTTCTGATACACACTGGGACAGTTTGTGTCGCTCCACTTCTGTGAGTTTGTTCCAAAGACAGACTGTCCATCTGTGTGTAGGAGATTTTACACTGACTCTTTCTACAAGTTACATACTTACACATGACACGTGACTGTCTTTATAAGTGAATCCTTTGACTCAATCATTGAATCATTGAATCATTCATTCAACTGATTTGTTCAAAAACATTGAATCATTCAGGAACAAAACAAGTGAGTAACTGAATCATTCATTCAACCTATTGGTTTGAAAACATAATTCTTGAAGGATATAAGTGAGTGATTGATTCTTTTATTAAACTAATTTCTTAAAGAGATAGTTCACACAAAAATGAAAATTCTGTCATCATTTACTCACTCTCATCTCGTCCAAACCTGTAGGATTTTTTTATTCGGTTGATCACAAAAGAAAATATTTTGTAGAATGTGTTTAACCAAACAGTTGACGGTAGCCATTGACTTCCATGGTATTTTTCTTCATGATATTGAAGTCAGTGGCTACCATCAGCTCTTTGGTTAAACACATTCTTCTTTTATGCTTAACAGAAGAAAAAAACTCATGTACGTTTGGAATGACATGAGGGTGAGTAAATGATGACGTGAATTTTCCCTTTTAAAAAACATTACATAATTGAGGAACAAAACAAATGAGTGAATCATTGAATCATTCAGTCAATTATTCAGAAACGCTGATTCATTGAGGAACAAAACAGTTTTTGTGTTGCAGCGGTTCTTCTGTGGCTTTATTTGTAACTATTTACATTGGCGGAGCAAAATCAGAGTATCAAAATCTTCTTGTTTATAGAAGAAAAAAAAAATCAAACAATCGTTCCTCCTCCATCCGTTGCTAAGCAACATAGCAAATCATTGATTGCATTAATGGAGAATGTGCACTGCTCACAACAGCTTCAAGCGAGGCTTATCGCTCTGTCTGTCTGTCTGTCTGTCTGTCTGTGTGTGTGTGTGTCTATCTGTCTGTCTGTCTGTCTGTCTGTGTGTGTTTGTGCAAATCCATGTCTACACCGGGTAATAACAACCTTGACTGCATAAATCAATGGATTTAAAATATGTATTGTATTAACTAACT